TTTAGAGAGTGGTCTTTTGGCCTTCATATGGGAAAATTTTCCATGTTCGAAATAGTATATACCTGTAAGCAAGCCAGTGTCTCCCCAAAGAAGAGCGTGTTTCCATTTGATAGAAGGCAGATTCTATCGAACAAACCAAAAACTTCGGTACTGCTTTGATAAATCGTGAATACAAGAGTACAACCCATACTTGCTAGCTTCTTTAGTGTCACCATCATAAGCAGAGCCGAAACACTATTAAGAGAGCAACAAGGCTAATTTTAGAATACAAGATTCTACCTTGTAGTAGAACACAGATAGTAACATAAGTCTATAAATGGTTAGAACCTGTCAAGGTGATAAAGAGGCTCATCGATGAATAAAATATGTGGTCGCATCACAAGTTCACGAGCAATAGAGACACGTCTTCTTTCACCACTTCGGAGACCCTTCATGTAACAATGACCACCAATCAATTTGTTTGCATAATCACTCAGAGACATCGCCTGGATCGCATCTTCGACAACACTCCTTTTCTGAAAGAGAAAACCCGGAAGCTGAAGCAGTGCTGAATAGTACAGGAATTCACGAACTGTAAGTGAACCTATCAATTGTGTTTCCCTCTCAACAAATCCCTGCAACGCAGCAAAACAAGAATCAGAAACACATTTACAAAACAAAAGAAAAGATCAAGAAAACTATAGACAATAGTGACTCACATAGGATCCGTAAGGCATATGTGATTTTGAACCATTCACAAACACCTCGCCATACATTTTTGCTGAAGGAGGCAATCTTCCTATAAAAGATGTGATCAGACGAAATGAAAAAGACTTAACTAACAATGAATAAACTGAAAATTGACATACCAGCAAGAGCCCTCAAGAGAGTAGACTTCCCGGATTTAGCAGGACCCATAATTACAGTCATAGTCCCGGGGAACGCATAACCATTCGAACTCTTTACAACCTTATCAGAATATTTTCTCTTCCCTTTCATAGTAACAGTCAAATCTTTCCAAGCAATAGAAGCACCAGCAATCTTTCTAACAACACCAGCTCCAGCTCCTCCTTCAGGCACAGGAGGAGAAGCCATTGATCCGCTATTCATCTTCGACAGCGAAGGAGAAACAGGCGTTGTTGTAGCATCATTAATAGAATCACCACCGCCAACTTCATCTTCCATTCTTAAATCAACATTAGGTGTGTCTTCCCACTCAGGAGAATCCTCAAAAGATATAGGTTGTCGAAGAGAACCGGGTTTTCTTACATAGAAAAAGTGACTAGATGGAACTCTACTAGTAGGACTACTTGCAGAAGACGAAGACGAACGGTACAAATCCGGTTGAGACTGTATCTCCTCCATTCTTTGACACTCAAGAACACAAAATGTTCCAAAGAAAACTACAATTTCACAATCAGTAATATGTTTAGATTCCATAATCAATGCAACCAAAACAAAAAGACTCAATAAGTAAAGTGACTACTATAGTAGGAATCAGTGAAGCACTATTAAAAACCTAAACTTTCCCATAAGCTCACTAAATTACAGTTTAATGACTAATGAGAAGTGATTCCTAATTAAGTAACTTAGTATAAATCATAAAAACCCTAACTTTTTTCAATTTCTGCATTACCCTGAAGCAGAGTAACTTCAAGTTCATAGCTTTGCTCAGCAACCAAACGAAGACTAAGCAGAAGAAGAGACCCAGTTCGAGAAATGATGAGAACAAGAAAGAGGAAGAGACAAACCTGGATCTGAAAGAAGTAAGATCCACAGAGAATGGAGAATCTCTTCTTGGGAGTTACTTGATACTCCTTGCGTTGTTGAAGAGAGAGCAAGAGTGAGAGAGCTCTCAAGTTTCTCTAACCCTTTGGGTTCTGCAAATATAGAAATAAAAAATGGATTGGGAATTGTTTTTTGTTTTGTCTGAAACCAAATGTTTTAATTACAAAAAAGTGAGCAAATTTCCATTTTTTCACCTTAAAGAAAATAAATCAGATTTTTTTTTATAAGAATATAAACTTAATTGCATAAAGAGAATTGTGAAAAAATATTGCATAAAAATAATTATTTTTAGAAAGTATTGTGAAAACAGGATTTCTTAAAATTTGAAGGCATTATGGCATTTTTCCAAATATTATGTTTTTGATTTGGATTTTTTTTTAGTCAAACAAAATTTTCCTTTGGATTTATAAAGTTATTTTGGGGTTTAGTTGAAGTAAAATCTATTGGAAATTTTAAATAATGCCTATTTTATAATACTCTTGTGAAAAAGTGTCAATATAAAAGAATTAAAAAGAATACTAACTTCAACTTTAAGCGTTTTTTATTTTTATTTTTATTTTCCCTTTAAGCTTTAGATATCTGAACAAAGGTTTGGCTTAGTGCTTTTCTTAATTACATGCAAAAAAACTGCTGAAATTTTAAACGATATACATTAGTAAACAAATTCGAGATATCTTGCTCTTTTTGGTATTAGTATCAGCTTTTCTTTTTTTATTTAAGATAATATTAAGGAATAGCCAAATTATACACAAAAATTAAGAAAATAGTAGAAGGAAAGATTTTTGTTGCAAAATATCCATAGACCCACATTTTTAGAAGAAATGAAATAACAAAGCCATCTTTTATTTGTTGCAAGTTCAACAATAGGCGAAACAGTTTCGTAAGATTTTGCAAAATAGCATGTAACATTTAAATTTTACATGTTATATTGAACTGAAAGACATAAGATTTGCAAAAACGTAATGATTTTTTTAAGAAAAACATTGTTATGTAGTGTTTTTTTTTAAGAAAAAACATTGTTATGGAAAAATTTAACCTAAATAGAATCTTTTTTAAAATAAATCACATGTGATCTTAATAGGGAATATTGCAAAATCTACCACATTTTAACAACTGGTATTCAAAATCTACCACAATCTCAAAAAACTTTCAAAATCTACCATTATCAATAGCACATGTGGAATGCTGGACCAAAATACCCCTGATTGGGACAGAGTCTGTGTCAAGGACATAGTCTGTGTCAGAGACAGAGACAGTTTTGTCTGGCGCTTCCAAAGAAGGAGCAGGTCTACAATAAATGCTGTACGGTTATTTAAATAATATGTTATATCAGGGACAAATTCAGATCTAATGAGTAATATAATTAGATCATGGACAAATTCAGATCGAATGGGTGATATAATTAGATCGAGGAAAAGTTCAGATCGAATGGGTAATAGAATTAGATCGGGGACAAGTTCATATCGAATGAGTAATAGAATTAGATCGGGGACAAGTTCATATCGAATTCAGATGGAATGGGTAATAGAATTAGATCGGAGACAAGTTCAGATCGAATGTGTAAGAGAATCAGATCGAATATGTTATATCGGGGACAAGTTCAGATCGAATGAGTAAGAGAATTAGATCGCAGACAAATTCAGATCGAATGGGTAATAGATATCGATCGAGGACAAGTTCAGACCGAATGGGTAATAGAATTAGATCGGGAACAAGTTCAGATCGAATGAGTAATAGAATTAGATCGGGGACAAGTTCAGATCGAATGAGTAATAGAATTAGATCGGGGACAAGTTCATATCGAATGAGTAATAGTACTCGGGGACAACTAGATCTTTTTGTTATTTTGCAATTGAAGGAAAAAAAATTCAATAATTAGGGTAGGTAAAGACAATAATGCTCAACTAATCTGTGGACCAAAATAGATGGTGAAAAATCTAAATAAAATTCGAAACCCTTAAATGAGAACAATTGGTGGACAAGATGTGGAATTCATGATAATAGAGCAAGATGATGAAATCGGGGACAAGATCTAGACGCAACAGAGAATTTCCAATCGGGGACAAGATCTGGAGACAAAAATGAAAGTTAATTGTTTAGTCTCAGGAGATATAATGTTTCTTGGTTAAAGTGCACGTGTTTCGAGGGAGAGAGAGATAAATAGAGAAGCTAATGTTATAGGGAAGATAAATAGGGAGGAGAAATAATTATGGAGGAAAGATAAAAAGGAAGATAAAAAGGGAGGGCAAAATGGTAACTCTACATCAAAATGTGGTATGAGTTGAAAGAAAGGAAGGAATGTGGTAGATTTTGAAAGAAATTGGGAATAAGTGGTAGATTTTGTAGTTTTTCCATCTTAATAAAAGCTACGTATTACTAAAAAATAAGAATTTTTTTAAAGAAATCACATGTGATATTAATAAATAATTAAACGTGTATTATTACAAAATAACATGATAAAAAGATATATTAAACTGAGTAGAATGTTTTTTCCAAAAGATACCATGTGCTCTTTATTAACAAAAGATATATAAAAACAGTCAATAATTGGTCTCTAAAATTTACTACTAATTCTGGTTTGAAAAATAACTATTTTGCCACTATAAATATCAACTTTTTTGGATATCTGACGATTTAGTCTCACAATTATGCGATTATTCATGTAGTCGCATCTGACATCGCTGTTTCACAACTACATATATAGTCGCACACTGGTTGGAGAAGTACGACCAATGTGCGACGATTGTTTTGTGAGTCTATGTTATATTCTTTAAGCAGTGTCAAATTCTCAATTTCTGACTCTACAACCGATCAAGTTGTCTAAAAATTGATGTTTTCTTGTAGTTGGAGGTTCTTTGTACTCTGGCTGAATAACACTCTAATGATCTTTTGCACACAACATGTTCTAAAAAAAAAAAATTGTAATGATCATTAATCTCCATCAAATCTTGGCAGAGAATTAATATTGCGTGAATCAGCGGCCTCATCTCTCACTTTTATTTTCGTTGATCACTTTTTCTACACTAGCTAACTCCCTCATGTTTCACTATGTCGGGTCCCGTGTCGAGAGAGTTCTCATACCAAAATTGAAAAACAATACTTGAGAAATAATTATCTTATATATTAAACTATAATTGGATTGGGTTTATATAGCCTTACAAGAAATTCAATTAGAGAAAAATAAGGATAACAAACGTGGCTCAGTTCTTACAACTTCGCCTTATTCACGAATTCAACAACAAAACTAACAAATACGTAGTCTCAAGAGACTAGTAATTCTTCAATCATCCGGATTACCCCAATAACACCTACACGAATGAGATGGCCCCTTAAATTCTGGCCTTTTACCACTATCTTCACATGTGCAACCCTCCAAGATTTTTGTTATTCCGGGAGAAGGGGGATTTTTTCCAAAATTCGTCTAAACATATATTACGTCCGTTAGGCTCACATGTTCCATAACCCTTCACTTTATTTATAGTCACATGTCCTTATCAATCCTCCTGTTTATAATATGAAAAGATAAGACTTATTAGAAAAAGTTTAACCTTCAAAGTAAACATCTAATACTATAACAATATTAAAGTTTATGTTTAAAAAACCACCATTTCTTAAAGAAATAATCAACATTACATATCTTAGGAACGAAGTGTTAAAATCTATATAAAAAAAATATTACCTTTAACAAGGTTTGTAAGGAGGAATATGAGAAAACATTAAACTATAATTGAAGTAGTACGTCTCATGATTGAAAAGTGTAATAAAAATTTATGTATCTTTTGTTTTTTTTGTCATCTTATTACATCATCACTAAAAATATTTAATCTAATCTTATTATGATGATATTCAACTACCTGCAGTATATGCGATTATGATGAACAGTTCCCATGAACAACGATTCCACGGCTCTCCCCGCAACACTCGGATCTTCAACGATGGTTCTGCATGTACGACATCCCTACGATGGACATGCTCTCCCCGCACCCAAACCACTACGAACGGCTCTGCATACGACACTCTGGACCTCCGACAAGCTTTGCACCATTAATCTGCAAGAAACTGCGTTCTCTGGGACTCGAACTCCAAACCTAGGTGTAGAAGTATTAATGAACCTTTGGTCAACCACTGGACCAAAGGAACTTCCAAATTTCGGTATCTTACTTGTAAAAAATTGTGACTATATATATTACACTTTTAATAAAAAAAAAGGATAGTTTTAGACTTTTTAGTATATTGACCAATGTAACTATTATAAAATCCTTCATTATTTTGATTAGTGTAGTACCAATATATACAAGTTGTGATATCTTGCCACTTCATATTTGCTTCTCTCTTTTTTTATACAATTTCAGATTTCCTTCCTTCCATCTTTTCCTTAAACATCATTTTTGTTTCTCTTTTCTAATCCTTATCTTTTATATTAAATATTTTTAATTTCTAATCATTCTTTTTTGAAATTGATAGGATTTGACAGAAGATCCACATGATAGATTAGAAAAAATAATACCAAAGTAGTTTGTAAGAGTATCTCCAATGCAGGGTTCTCTTCTATATTTTGATTAGTTCTCATCTGAAATTGGCAAAAAAAATAATTCAGAATTGAATAAAGAAGAGAGAATCGATTCTCTTCGAAGAGTTTGAGATTTTGATAGAGGCGGACACGTGCCAGTGTTCGATTGGAGGAAGTGTTTTAACAAAAGAAAAAAAAAACACTCATTTTTTTTAGTTTTCTCTCTCGACCAAAAAAAACACTGACTCTCTCTCTCTCGATCTCGCGATTGCGAGAAAAAAACAAACTGATGAACAAACGCCGATTTCGTGAGATTCCTCGTTTGGAAGGTAAATCTCCGTTGAAACCCTATAAATTGAAATCTAAAATCCATGATTGTTTGTGTTTAGCTTTTGGTGATGTAATGTATCAAGTTTTTCTCCCCAATTTTGATTTTTGGTTCTTTGGGTTTGGTTGAATTTATCACTGTTTGCATGTGTGTTTTGGCTCTAGCTTACATTACAAACCCATGTAGTCGTGATTTCTTAAAAGAATTTGGAAATTGTGAACCATAGTTGTTAATGGTGAGTTCGATTTGGGAATCCATTTTGTTAGTTTCTGAAATTTCTTGTTAAATAATTTTATATCAACAAATGAAGTTAATGTGGTGGATTGAGTTCACGAAGCTTAGTGGAATTACAATACAAAAGTTTTCTTCTACATATCTTGAAATTATATTTGATTTTATAGATTTGTAAGCAGATAAATTCGTTGTGTATAAAGTATTTGATGGAAATATATATAACTTTGTATATTTGATTATGCGTTATCTCTTGATAGTTAAATTTATCTTTTTTTTTATTGCGTATAGAAGCTCAGTAACTCTTCAAAGTGACAACTACATCATTCCATCAAAGTGATTATATAGCAACCAAAATTGGTTTGTTGATTTTTACTCTAGTCTGTTTTCTTTGAAAACTTCTATTCATTGACAAATCAACATTTGATATACAAAAATCCGAATCTCAGTTTTGAAACCATACGAAAACTTAAACCATGACTTAAACATGTCTCCATATGTAATTTAAGTTTACATCAACCACAAAACCATGACTTGAATCCATATCTTCTTTTTCTCCATCTTCCAAAATTTGATCAAGTGTTTTAAAAACCAAAACACAGAAATTTGATTAAATGTTTGATATTTTTATGAATTGCAATAATTATTAAGTTTTAAGAAATTAAATATTTAATAAAAAATTTTTTTAAGAGAATCCCATTAGAGAACCTACCATTGGACTATTAAAAAAAAAAAAAAACAAAAGTTCTCATCTCATAAATTTCTAAAATTTTTATTAAACAACTAGAGGGTTAGTCCGGGCTACGCCCGGTTTTATATTGATAATTTTGATTTAATTTATTGGTATTATCAATTTTTCAGTTTTATCTGTTTATGT